GAGTGAAGTAGAGACAAGGAGGGTGGAGATAGAGGTGGAGACAAGAAGGGTAGAGATAGTAATGGAGATAGGGAGGGTCAAGCTAAGGGTGAGAATTGGGATAGAATTATAGGCAGAATTGAGATGACAAAGGTGGAAACGAGAGTAGGGTTAGGATCCCAGACATGATACAAAATAAATCATTTAGTGGAAAAGGAAGGTGTGGATTTAATAAGTGCATATATATATTATTGATATTTGAGAATATAAATTTTAATGATTTAATTGAAATAATTATCTTTTAAAAAGTTTTGTAAGTAACATGTATATATGTATGTATGTATATATATATATATATATATATTCTAATACAAACCTATGCTACTGGTGATAAAAAAATTATAAAATTTTAATTTATAATTGCTAAGTTCAAAATTGACTGCTCTTAAAGAATTGTTGACTAAGAAATATATATATATATATATAGAAATATTTATATTTCTTTAATTTTATTAAAAAAATATAATTTTATTAAAAAAATATAATTTTATTTATTGTAATTACTTAAATATCTAAATTGAAAGAACTTCAAGATAAATTATATTTAAAATAGTATTTTTATCTTCATTGTTTTTAGAATATAAGATCTTGATCATATTTAAAAAAAATACATTGTAACTTAGACATATAATAGAAACCTATATTAATAAATATAAAAAAATGTTCTTATATTTTTGTGTATTTTGATGCAATTTTCATAGGTTTTGCTAAGTTTCTTGAGTTTTCATGGATTTCCTTGAATTCCCATGTATTTCTTAAATTTCTCTAGGTTCTTTTATATTTTCTTTGCATTCTATAAAATGTCATGGATTCTCATGCATTTGCAAGTTCTTATTTATTCTTGTGAGTTTTTCAAGTTGTCATAGGTCTCTATATGTTTTTGTAGGTTTTTATGTATTTTTTGGATTCCAATTAATTCATGTGCATTTCTCATTTCCTGATGCATAGAATCATATACTTGAGATAGAAGAAAATAAATTCTAGACCTAAATGTTTTAAAACTTGTACTGCAATTAATTGACCAAGTTTAGAATACATAGAGATTTTTATAATAACAATTATATATTTGAAATAATTGATGATTCTTTAAATTTGATATCTCTTAGAAATAGTGAGATATAATTCTAACAAAAAATCCATGCCATTGGATACAAAAGAAGGAAAAAAATAAAAAATAAACAAAATAAAAAAAAATTATTTTTTATTGTTTAAATAATATTTTTTTTATATAAAATATATAATTTTATATTGCAAGTAATATACTTTTGGTTCAATATTCAAAGCAATTAAAAAATACTAAATCTATTATTTTGATGTTGTAGTCTTTGCTCAAGTATAAAATGATGAAAAAAACTTATACGAAAGATTAATCTAGGTAATTAAAAATAAAGATTGATTAAAATTGTAGATTAATAATTCATTTTTTATATAGATTAAAGACTTTGCATTGCATTGAAGGTAGAAAATTAGACATTTTGGAAATCTCAGCTAACATAAATAACTTGCAATTTATAAAATACATAGGTGGAGGAGCTTATGGACAAGTCTATAAGACAAGGTAGTTGGATTTTTTTAATGCAACAAAAATTATGTGTGTTTCTTATATAGATTATTTTAAGAATAAAGTGGCCATTCTAGCTGGTTCAAGCCATCGTAATCTTATATAATATTTTTAAGCTTTAAAAGATATTACATAAGGTTTTAATGCATCTTCATTTTGGAAGATAATATACAAAGTTTTGTATTGTAAGTCTTGTAGAAATAATAAAACATATGAAAAAATGGATGCAAGTAGAAAATTATAAGTAATAATGGAATTTATAAAAAAAATAAACTTATAAAATATATTAGATGAAAAAAATCAATATCATATAATTGTTTAATTGATATTATTTTTCAAATTGAAAAAAGAAAGAATTATTTGTATGATATGCAAATTACACATTATGATTTAAAGTTGAATAATATTCTAGTGAATATTATAGAAGAAAAAATTTCAAGCAATATTGTTCAACATAATGTTGTTAAGTTGATTGATTTGGGAATTTCAAAGATTGACATTAGAAAAAATCTAAAAGTTAGAAAAAATAGAGATATTTATAGAACATTACAACATATGGCTTTGAAAGAAATAAGAAATTCTTATGATACAGTGATAATGTATCCTTTCAAAGTAGATATTTACTCATTTACAAAGGTATATTTTTAAATTCTTTCAAGAAAAGAATTATTTGATGGTATCTATATTTTTAAAATATATATTAGAAAAAATTAGAAATTAAAAAGTCTAGAAATACCTTCAAATTGTAAAGACTTAACTTATTTAATTAAAGATTGTTGAAATTTAAAGCCATCCTAATGTCCAAAATTTTCAAATATTTGTGAAATATTGTTATTATTGAAAAAAAAGATTTTGATAGAACCTTGTAAAATTAAAACATCTTCTTGGTGCAACTGAAAACAATGTTTATGAAGAAATTCAATTGCAAAAAGAACATAATTATTTATCATTGGTAATGTGTATATTTATTATTTTCGTGAGTTATATATTAAAATAATTTAAGTTATTTAGTATTACATTTATTTATAATTCTTTTACCACAATGTTATTTAGTTGCCAAAAAATAAGTAAAAAATTACTTATTAGGAGTATCACAATCATGCATTAAAAAAATATAATGTGTCTTATTGGCATAGGAAGAATAGGTAGGACTAAAATTGTAAAAGTTATATTTCATTATGTAAAATACATGTACCATGCCTCATGCTTTATTGGAAGTATTAAAGATGGTGTTGATAGTTTTAAAATATCTTGCAAAATCTTAGAAAAATTTAAAGAAAAATATGAACTATAGAACTTAGAAGAAGCAAAAGTTTTTTTGAAATAAGTTTTCTTTACATAAAATTATTTTAGTTTTAGAAGATATAAAATATTTAAATCAAATTTAAGATTTTTTTTTCCCACAAGTATTTTATCTGCTAGCAATATTAGTACATTAATTGTAATAATATAAAATAAAAATTTAATCAAATACTATTTTTAAATGGTTTATAAAATAAATATTGAAGTAATTGAAAAAGATGCAAGTTTGAAGTTGTTAATGACTCATTCTTTTGGATACCAAATTGGATTACCAAACATATTTAATAAAATTTATAAAAATATTATAGAATAAATATTGTAGAATAAATATTTATTGCAATGGATTACCTTTAAACTTAAAAGCCATGGATGCATTTTTAAGAAAATTAATAATGTTACAAATAAATAAAAATCTAAAAATTAAAAATTTTAATTTAATTTTTTTTTAAATAGAAAATTTTAAATTCATTTTTTATGTATATTAATTAAAATTTATAAATTTATAAATTTATAAAAAATATTATAAATACTGAATGTATTGCTATTGTATTTTTTTTTAAAACTTGTACTTTTAATTATGTTGATTTATAGTTGTAAGGAGTATTTTACAACAATTTCAACAAGAATATGTTTAATAAAGTAAGAAGAAATTGATTTCCATCTCTTCAGTTTTTACATTGTAATATTGATAAGTGTACAACAGAAGATATAATAAAAATTAAGAATTTTTTTATCTTAGTAAAATATTTTCTTAACTTAAAATATTTTTTTATTAAAAACATCAGTTTTTTATAAATAAAAAAAAAAAGAATCGGACAAAGTATTTCATTTTTAAATAAAAAAAATATTTCGAAGAAGTTTTAAAATTTGAATGATTTATGATTAAAAAATTCAGATCAATTTCTTGAAATTTCTATATTTATTTGTACTTCACTTAAAAAAATGTTCAAATTTAATCATGCTATCAAATACAATATAATATATGACTTCTTTAAAAAAAAATAATTTAGTAAAATATATAAGATTGAGATTACTTCTAATATTATTTAGAGGTTTATTTTCTTTAAAAAAGTTTAATACAAATAGGTGCCTATACTTGATATCATTGTCAAATGATATAAACAACTTCAAATCTTTGGCTACTTTAGATATAAACAAGTGCTTAATATTGACATTATTATCAAATGAATTGGACAATGTTACATCTTTGACTACCTTAAATATAAGCAAGTACTTAAGTTTGATATCATTGTCAAATAACTTGGATACTTTCATATCTTTGATAAAGTTCAATATAATCAATTGTTCAAGTTTGACATCATTTTCAAATAAATTGGACAACTTGACATCTTTGACTACCTTAGATATAAGTAAGAACTTCAACTTAACATTATCATCAAGAGAATTGAAAAACCTCACAACTTTAACTATTTTGAATATAAATAGGAATTCAAATATGACATCATTACCAAATAATTTAGGTAATTTCACATTTTTAATTATCTTTGATATTAGCTAGTATTCAAGCTTAATATCATTGTCAAATGAATTCAGCAACCTCATATCTTTGACTACTATTATTATAAATTACAACTCAAGCTTAAAATCCTTACTAAATAAAATAAAAAATCTCATATCTTTGACTATTTTTTTATAGAAGGATACTCAAGATTAAAATCATTGTAAGATAAATTTTGAAATTTCACATCTTTGACTATTTTAAATATAAAAAAGTGCTCAAGCTTAACATCAATGCAAAATTAATTTAAAACCTTACATCTTTGACTAACTTTAATATGAAAGATTTTCTAAGCGTCATATGATTATCTAATAATTTAAGTAATCTCACATCTTTAATTATCTATAATATAAGATAGTATCACAAATATACATATTAATATTAATAATAATTAAAATAAGATGAGTTAAATAGAGATAAATAAAAATAGATAAAAGTGATAATATCTTATAGAGATGATTCTTAGAAGCTTCATAGACATAGATTTCACTTCATAAGTATTTCTAGGTAATTGATAGGTTAAGAACTTGGCGAATAAGTTGGTCACATATCACACATGTTGGTCATATGACATACATATTGGAAACGTTCATTGCAAGTTAGATACATGTTTTGCAAGTTGAAGGTTACAACAATGAAGGTTCATTCTACTACCACCCACGGTCAATGAATTTGCCAACCAATGACCACATGTCTCAGATCCTACACAAACACATTCACCGAAAACCATTCTCCTACCTTCAGACAGTGGAATCTGGACGATCAGGTTGTAGAAGGAACCACATTGACAGTTGGGGTGTTTGATGGAGTTGGTAATCTCTGGGTAGAACAGAGCAGCTCGATAAGTGATTGTGAATACAGTTGGTATTGAGGTAGCTGAGAGAACGACCTGCACGGGGAGATATCACTAAGAATGGAACAACGTGAGGACGTCTGTGAGGGTGCCAAACCTCGTTTGGGTCGCACATCTCCAACATGTGCCACGCCTGGGTGGTGATGTGAACTTATGCTGCACAACAGTTCTGGGTTACCTGTGGTGCTCAGGGCAGTAGCATGCCAGGAGTTAAGACTGACAACAGCCAGCAAAGGATGTATCTGAAGCCTTGATCTGGCGGCATGGCATTGCGATAGGGACATTCTGACACATAATCCTTCGAGCTCTAATCTGGGTGAAATTTTACATATGCCAGGATGGCGACGATGGCCCGTCTGCTTCTAAAGCGGCGCAGGCGGAGGAGTAAATATACCACCCTTGTAGTACACATCGCTACATATGAGGATGTGGCCCTCCTCATATCGGATATCAGCATTTTCTAGGTCGACTGCAGGCAGCACTGGCAAGGGAAAGCCATGTTTCATTTTTTTGTTCAAAATGGGAAGGATCACCCTTGAAATGACCGTCCGCAGTGTAGGCTGTACACAAATTACAGTTGTCAGAATTTGGAGGCAGAGATAATCAACGCTATTTCTTCACCAATGATTGTAACATGTTGGAGATTCTCAGATTTATTCTAAAAGCAGAGGATTTCCATGTGTTTTATTTGTTTTCAAGTTTTAGAACGTTGTGATTTAGAGTTTGTGTACCGGGGAAATTTAAACTTTTGAACAAATTAAAGTTATCACGCGGATCGTGAAGTTTCAGCCTTCTTATGGTATTGGCGTTATCTATCTTCTTAATTTTGGAGTGCGAGGTTTGAACGTCCACCTATTCCTCGTATTTTAACGACTTCTCGACTTCGCTGATCTAATTTGTTACCCGAGGGTAACCTGGACGCATTCTTAAAACGATGCTCCATTAGACAGCGCTCAGCTGACAGTGGGACCAACTCTGATAGCGCTGATGAAATTTTCGCAACCTTGCGGTACATCAGAATAGAGCTCAGAGTAAATGGTAAACACACACCTGCAAGAGGTTGACGGGGAAATTGCCGACGTCGCTCCATTTCAATTCGAGGCTGAGGTCATTGAGAGTAGCTTCAGCCGTGATGTTGTTACCCACAACATTTACGACCGCATCCATGGATAATGCCTGTCCAAGCACAAGCACGCTTGTTGGGATAACGAATACTTAGCCATAACGATAAGAATCGGAAATATAAAATTGATGCAGTTTCTCGAGTTGGGACTCACCAAAGATATGCAGGCAACAGGCAGAGGTTTTTCATCAGTTTTCACTAACAATATCAGTTCAGCCATAGCATTCGCAGTTGCACCATCCCTCTGAAGCTGAACTGTTGGTGGTGTCGAGCACGCAAAGTCCAGTGCCATGTCCATGTTTGGATACTTTTTGTACAATTGGGGTATGAGCCATCGCCAGAAGTGTGTGTTGAGCCACGACTCTTGTGGAAGCTCATCCACTAACCATTCCAGAAACCCAGCCTACAAAGACAGACCCTTTCGTAAAGCATGACAACATTATGGGCATGCTAAGTAAAACTAACAACTCAAAGCATTTTCTTTGTTCGTCTAGATCATGAGAATGATCTGTTGCCACGCAAAGATCTGCAGCAGCACAAAGTGCTCTAAACAACCGTACATGAGGGTTAATTTGTAACGTGAGCACACCATAATGAGAGAAAAAAAGTGGTTTGCAAAGAACAGGAAACAGGTTCGCAAAAAGTGCACCTCAAAATACACTGTGGTTGCTGAGTTGATAACGTAATCACAGAGAGCAATGGTGACCATCTTGGTGGAGTCACTGCAGAAGAGTCCGGGTTCCAATCCATGATCCGGGTCTGTGAAGTTTATTGGTTTCAGGAGGGAAGTAAACTCGCCTTTCACTCCTACGCTTAGAAACGTCGGGCTCACCAGAGGATCGCCCACAATGGTTACATCGATAGCAGAGACATCATCTATGGGTAAGTTTCGAGGAAGTCCTTGGAGGTAATTATCCAACTGCTCTGCGCTCGCGACTATTTTATTTGAAATTGCAGTTTCAATTGCTGCACGGATCTCCTCATCAAAGGCATACACAAACCTGTCGAAAACAGCACATAACGATTATCTTTCAAGTGTTGAGCCATCAAAGTGGAAGAAACCTACCCCCTAACATTTTAATCCTTTAATTGGAAGCTAAACTTTGTTTCATACCCTTCAGAGAAGAGGTGACCCACTTCAGAATCCCAATTCATATTTTCTAATCGCATAACCCTGCACAAACTGCATACTTTTTAACAGATACATGTAGCCTATAGGTTGGGCATGTATACAAATCTATTGCTCACACGGAAACGTTTTGCTTTCAAAGGATAGACGAACATGATAATTCACGTAGATGATGCAGCCACAAGCACTTACCACCGATAAAGCCATGATGCACCTCCATTTAATTCAATATCAAGGTCATCGATGAAGGTTCCACACTCCACGACTGTCAACCGTAGCGTCCCGTTATGTGTTGTAAGGGTGAACGTCACGCCCGCTTGCATACCATTCACCTGCACAGAAACAGGCAATTGTTAGTTGGTCAGAGTTGAGCACTGTAAGCCGAACGAAAAATTGTTGATGGATTATGTCGTATCATTACCGAATGTACCCTGGTGTCAAAGATTTCATCAAAACGAATCCTATCAAGTAGTTTCAGAGACATGAATTTCAGAATCATGGAATGTGGAAATATAAAATGCGTTTCAAAGAGCACCCCATGAAGCAATACAACTCACAAGGTTTTTGATTTTTTTAAACACGCCGAGAACAACCTCAGACATAGAAAGCAACGAACCAGGTTGCGTTGAGCTCAACATTCTTACCTCCACGTCTGCCCATCCACCGTCGTTTATAGGAAATGGCACATAAGCGGCTGAGTATTCGTAGTACCAGTGTAGGCGTAGACGGGCCTGGATATCGCCTGCGAATACGGTGATGCCCGTCTTGCCAAGATCCACATCCGAATACGAGACATTTGCCCCAGAGAGCTCGATGTGGGAAATTCGCGTGTCGATTGTGCCGATGGGGGAGTCGACGTGTGCCTTGATATCGGGTAATGCAAGAGGGGTTATCTCTTGAAGGATTTGATCAACTAGTACTTCCTTCACGTAGTTCAATCCGGATTCGGAGGGTGTGATCATAATCCCAGCCACGTCTAAGTCGCTACCCCCAACTGGGATGTTCTTTGTTTCTTTCCGTGAATCTGAAATCTCTCCTCCAAGGCCATTGCTTCCTTCTCTCTCGCTCTCATCAACGATCTTGAAGCGAGAGTGTCGCAAATCATATCGAGTCTCATTCAACTCGGCAAAAGTGCTCGGAAGCAGCAACAGAGCGACGAATATAGAGAGGAAGTAGGTTCCAACGATGACACCCCCCATGCTCAAGTCTGATATTTCGTTAGGCAAGAGCCAAATTCATCAACATGGTACAGCAATTTTCTCTAGAAGACGGCCTAAATCAAGATAAACAATTCAGCGCAGACCAATTGTACTCAATATGGATTACCACCGGAACCCTAATTTTCCGAATAATAGAGATCCTAACTCCCGGAGGTCAATCTCAGTAACCCAATCCTCAGCTCGGTGTGCGCTTCTACGAGGCATACGAAAGAGTCAAAATGTCAATCCAATCGTAGTCGCAAGGCGATGGATTACCCTGCTCATTCTGGGAGATCCGAATTTCGAATTCTCCAACACGGCTGAAAGCTCGCCTGAAGAACCTAGAATTCCTCGCAGGTGACCGACTTCAGGAAGAGATCATAGCATCTAATACCTTCAAAGATATGGCCGAGTTGAAAAATGCTCTACAGCACATAGAAGGAATTCTCAGTAAATGACGAAATCACAGAAGAACAACCCAACCCCATCCCTTAGACCAGCTATGCAAGATTGAGATTGATAAGAGCCCTCAGCCGCTATGAGTACTCAAACATCCGTTCTCGAATCCTGTGTTTAGAGAACAATCCTTCAAGCGATAACCCTAGAACGACCAAGCAGATCCAAGTATAAAGAGAAACAAAACAAACACAGAAAGCATCTGTGCCTGGAGCAGGGCAACCCCAAATGGAAGCAATAGCAGAGCATCACGGTTGCGCCTCACGTTGCCTGAACCCACAATCAACACCATGTCATTCCTGATTAGGGTGGGAAAAGTATGGAATATCCTCTGATTCCTACGACTTCATAAATCCACTTTCGCCTTTCCCAATGGACCCCAGCACACACGCTACAGGGATCCTATGGATTGACTTTTCAGATGCCTCAGCACCACACTGTTTTCATCAATGTCTACTGCAACGACGATGATATATAGGAACATTTAAGGTTTCTGAAAAAAGAAGCACATACAATCTTGCTCTTTCCAATCAACACCAGCGCCAGAGAAGTGACGAGGTCTCTGTAGCAAAACTTAGTCTCAGCCATTCTCCCTCTGGTGAGCCATTAGTATTTGCGCGTTCTTCTTCCCGAAATTGTGTCGAGTTCTGACAATTGCGAACCCACAAAATTGAGTCGAACTATTCCACACAAACTAATTCTACAACCAATGCTACGAATGCAACAAACTCCTACACTGATAAATTCGTGTTGGACGCGCTTGTTCCTGAAACAATCGATCGAAAATCGGAGTTGACCCAACAAAAGTCCACGCAAAACCTTCTTCGACCTGAAATTGAGAAGCTGAATCCAAAAAATAGGGCAGCGGATGCTGCAGCGACTTCAACCTCGACCAACACATTGAATTCTTACTCAATTAGAAAGGAAATCGCCGCCTGCTGCAGCATTCCATTCAGTATCCAATGCACGCTTCCGAGCAGCTGGGGCAGTAGGAATCCATCGCAGGGAGACGCGGATCCCGAAAGCGCCGGATCCCATTTCACCGCGATCAATCGGCTGCGGGTGCTCCACGCCGATCAGTGTCAAGAGGACGATCGCTCCCACAACGCAATTCTCATGCTGCTGCTGCTGTCCCAGCGTGGCTTCGGAGGTGGGCACTGTCGGTGAGCGGGATGGGACGCCAACATTTGAATCCTCTTCAAATGGTCCTGGGGGAGGGTGGCTTCATGGCAATTGCTATTGTTGCTGTTGAGAATGTTTAGAAAGACACAAGAGTAATAGTAAGTCATACACACACACGAGTAGTAGTAAGTCATACACACACAAGGTTCCTAAGGAGAGAGAGCTTCACACACACAAAAATCTATTGATCTGGTTGTGTCTCCTACACAAGAAGATCAACCAGATAAGAGGATGAACAGTACTTCTCCACTAGACTCTAAATACTATAGCTACAGTAATTACTATGGAGAGCATCGGCTACATTTAATGATCTCAACACTCCTCCTCGCTCATCATAATATTTACATAATATAAAATTTATATAGATTTATGATCTATACTTTTTTGTGATCTTGTAAGATCAAGAATTGTTGCCTCATTAAAACCTTATTTAGGAAAACCTTATTTTATTTAAAGACAAAACCATAGATGAAGGAAAAAGAGTACAACATTATTTTCTTTAATTATTTAAAGAGCTCTTTAACTTTCTTATTCAAGAAAAGCAAGTCGCAGCATACCAATACCATAAGTAAGTCGATGATGATTGCTTAATGGGAGAGCTTTGGTGAAGAGATCAGCAAGGTTATTTGTAGATTCAATTTTCTTAATTATAAGTGCTTGATCAGTAATCAAGTCATGAGTATAACTAAAATACTTTGGATCAATATGCTTTGTCTTGTCACCTTTAATGAAACCAACTTGCATCTGTGCAATACAAGCATTATTATCTTCATGCAAGATAGTTGGAGAATCATCATATGAAAATCCACAGGTTGTTTGAATGAATTTATCAATTGATCGCAACCAAATACATTCTCGAGATGCTTCATGTAAGGCAATAATTTCTGCATGGTTGGATGAAGTTGCAGTTATTGTTTGTTTCACTCATTTCCATGATATTGCAGCTCCATGTCTTAAAAATACATATCCTGTTTGAGATTTAGCTATTGCAATATCAGATTTATATCCTGCATCACAATATCCAACCAATTTTGGATCTGCAGATTTTGTGTAATATAATTCCAAGTCTTCAGTACATTTTAAATAACGTAATAAATATTTGATGCCATTCCAATGTCGTAGTGTTGGACGTGCACTATGTCTTGCAAGAACACTAATTGCAAATACAATATCTGGTCTTGTAGATGTAACTAAATACAAAAGTGCTCCAACCGTTGCGAGGTATGGATATTGGTCTTCCAATATTTCTTCCTTCTCCTCGCATGGACGGTATGGATCATGACCATCATGACCACGTCCAACCATTGGTGTGGACAATGGATAAGCATCATTCATATTAAATCTTTGTAAAATTCATCTAATATACGTTAGTTGGTAGAGAAAAATGCTACCATCTATAAGATGCATAATCTGAAGACCAATGCAGAAAGTTTTTTTTCCTAGGATTTTCATCTCAAATTCACGTAAAAGTAGGTTTGTAGCTGTAACACATGCAGATGTAGTGTCTACTAGGTTAAGATCATCAACATATACAGGGATGATCACAAAACCAGTTTTATCTCGTTTGATAAACAAATAAGGGATTAGTGGATTACTTATAAAATTATTTTTAATTAAATAATCTCAAAGACGTTGATTCCATATTCGTCCGGATTGTTTTAAACCATACAAGGCCTTACATAATTTAATACCACGATATTTTTCTAGAGCGGGTTGATTTGCAATTCCTGTTTCTAAGCCAGGTGGAACTTTCATATAAATATTTGCATCAAGAGAACCATATAGATATGCAGTAACTACATCCATCAGATGCATCTCAAGGGTGGCATGAACTGTCATTCCAATAATATATCGAAATGTAATTGAATCCATGATTAGAGAATATAGGGATTCATAATCAATGCCAAATCGTTGAGAAAATCCTTGAGCAACAAGATGAGCTTTATAGCGGGTTATTTGGCCTTGAGCATCTCGCTTACGTATTAATACCATTTTATATCCCACAGGGCGAGATGTAAGAGTGTCTACAATTGGACCAAAGACTTTCTTCTTACGCAAAGAGGCATACTCTTCCTCAATAGCAATTTTCTATTTTGACCAATCAGAGCGATGCATCGCCTCTTCGATGGTTTGAGGTTCAAAATCGTCTTCCTCGCAAAAAAGGGCTTCTATAATCATATATGCAAATGATTCATCTACCGTAATAGATGGTCTGTTCCAAATATCATCTGTAGCACAATACAGAATAGATAATTCTTTACTCAACTTGTTCTTATTTCTTCCAGTTCCAAGATTATTTTTCATAGGAATTGAAGGTACATTATGCATGGATATATCATCATGAATTGGTAGTCTTGGAAGATGAGTGGAAATTTCTTGAGAAATAATACCAGGATTAGTTAATTTTATAGCTTTCTTCTTACGTGGTTGCTTATCTGGTCTACGAGTTCTTTTAGTTGTTGTTATTATAACTTGAGATATTGTAGTCAATGGCACTGCAATCTGAGCAGGTGCATTTTGAGCCTCATTAATAGGAACTCTTGTAATTCTAAGTGCATCATTGAAGCCATCAGGTATTTCATTCGCGATCCGTTTTAAATGCAAAATCTTAGCAACTTCAATTTCTGCCAAAGATGTCCTAGGATTGGGATTCATTGTAAATATTTCGGGTGCTTCAAATATGAGTACTTTATTTCTTTTTTGATTGGATACTCTTCCTTGAAGAGATGGGAATACAGTTTCTTCAAAACTGCAATTTTGCAAACGTGCACGTAATAATGTGCCAGTTCATGGATCAATAATACGAATAATACTTGGTGAATCAAAACCAACATATATGCCTTCTTGTCGATGAGCTCCAATGGTACGCCGTTGAGGTTCTGGTACTGGAATCCAAGCATGGCAACCAAATACTCGTAAGTGAGATACATTTGGAACACAATTCGAAATAAGCTCATGTGATGAAACACTTTTAAGAGAAGAAGGGCGAAGGCGTATTAATGCTGCAGCATGTAAAACTGCATGACCCCACATAGATGTAGGTAGATTTGCGTGAAGGAGGAGTGGCCGCGCAATGAGTTGTATACGCTTTATAAATGTCTCTGTAAGTCTATTTTGAGCATGTTCATATGGAACACAATATGTCAATTCGATTCCTGTTGGAGTACAATAGTCTTCAAAAGACTTTGATGCAAATTCTTTTGCATTATCCATACGCAATGTTTTTATAGGATAATCAGGAAAATATGCCCGAAAGTAAATAAGCATAGATATAAGATTGGTAAACACCATGTTTCGAGTTGATAATAATGAAACATGTGATTGTTTACTTGATGCATCAACAAGGACAAAAAAATAACGAAATGGTCCTGATGTTGGATTAATAGGACCACAAATATCACCATGCAATCTTTCAACCATTGGTGGTAATTCTTGTGGAAGTTTCGAAATTGAAGGCCAAGTAATCATTTTACCTTGTACGCATGCACGACATAATTCCATAGAGTCTACATCCGCAGGCTTTAAATTGTGTCCAGTTATACATGGAATGATTTTTCTAAATAATGTGGATCCTGGATGTCCCAATCGTCCATGCTAGAGAGAAATACGATTCTTTGAGATAGATGATGCAAAATTAAATATAATGGGAGGCCGAATCACAATTCGGTATAAACCATTTTCTGTAGCAAAAGCTTTTTCAATAACTTTATGGTTCTTCGCAAGAACCAAAACTTCTTTTCTATTTAAAGTGGTGGTTGAGAGGTAATAACCATTAATCTCGGTAGCTGATAAGACTCCGAGGTGCTTAGGGTACAAACATCGCATGTTTACATTTTATGATGGAACCCGCAGGTAATTTTACCATCGCTGTACCTTCTTGGAAACAAAACGCATTTGCTCCAGCTATGGTCATCATATTTTTAGTTTACCAAGTTGAAGATTTTTCCATAAAAAATTGTCTATCTCGCAAGATAATATGTGTTGTTATAGAATCAATGAACACATCATTTGATTCATCATTAGAGGTTCTATCATTCATATAAGCCTCTAAGTCATCAACACCAATAGAATCCATCGATGCATCCATGGTATGAATTTCACGAGCCTTAGCTTGCAGTTTCTTATTTTCTTGGAACATTTTAATAAAATATTTTGAAGTATAGCATGCATGTGCTAAATATCCAATCATTCCATATTTATGACAAGAACGCATATCTGATTTTTATTTTCTACTATAATTAATAGTAGAACGTTTATTCTTTCCATATAGGTAGAAATAGTCATAACCATGACTACCCTGATATTTATGAGCATGTTTTCCATGTTTATATAATTTCTTCTTAGACTTTGAAATATTAAGTACATGAGATTTTGGAACTGTAGTTCCAATAGGACAAGCTTCCGCATTGCATAAGAGTAGCTCATTTTGCTTCTCCGCAAGAAGTAGATAGAACATGAGATCAAAATGACTCTGAAATTTCATGTTCCTATATTATTGTACAAGCATAGTAGATACATGAGGAAATGTAGAGAGAGTTTTCTCAGACATTTCTTCTTCAGAAATGCTTTGTCCATATAATCATAATTGTGAGACAATACTATACATTTCACTATTGAAAGCATTTAAATTTGGAAAATCCAAGATACATAAATGTGTCCAATTATGATGTGCACGTGGAAGAAAAATGGTCTTTTGATGATCAAACCTAGATTTAAGATTCTTCCAAAGTTTTGCAGGGTCTTCCATTTTTAAATATTGATGTTGTAATGCAGGTACATGATGATGACGAAGGAGAAGAAGTGCTTTCCAACAAATAGCAGGAGATATAGAAATACTTATTGTAAGAGATTCTTCAAACATAATGGCATCGGAGAGTTGTTCTGCAAATAAATTTGCTTTTACCATTTTTGTCCATAATAGATAATTGTTTCCATCCACAGTCAATGATGGAAATAAAAGAGCTTGAAAATATTTGGATGCACTGATAATAGTTGGAACCATAGTAGAAGTAGTTGAAGATATTGAAGCACTTATTATAAATAAATCTATAAAGAAAATACAAGATCAAATAAAAAAGTTGAGTAAAACATACCTTAAAATATAAAGTCAAATAAAATGATAAATTTGAACTTGAAAAAACTAAAATATATATATATATATATTTTATATTTTTTTTAAAGGAA